CTTGAATTAGAGTAGAATGGCTTGCATTCGTCTATATTTGGTGGTGGTGGCCCCGAGCCTAGCCCATCAGCACACCTGGGTGTTATTGACAGACGTTAAGTATACGCCATGTTATTAATATTCTTATAAATACTAGAGCCCTGCGTCGGTTAAATTATATGAATCAGGCTTGGATACTCAATCGACAGACTATTGAGCTAAGCAATGTTTGAATAGACTGGATTCACCAAAGCCGAGGACATTAATGGAATCGAGCTAATTTCTTTGGTTGGGCCGAATTTTCGGACGAGTTGACTGACACATATTTTTTTATGTAACCCAAACGGATCAAAGCGATTAAATTTGAGTCAGGTATACGGAACGCGTTTCGGTTGATTCGATGCAGGGCTCTTTTACATACCAATGCTTTGGCACAGTGTTCATGATCGAGGATGATACGAAATGCATGGCTGATAGTAAATTGATCAGAGAAGAGAGAAGCAACATGATTAGCTGCTGTCGATTGAAATCGCCGCATTTTTCCAACATTTTGTCCACTTCCAACATTGTGTTATTTACATATAATTCAAGTACGTGCTAGATTCAATTCACCATACACCTCTGTCCAGAATAGAACCTTCCCAGAACTCGCTTCTAGTTAGCCAGTGCTCTCAATGTACCGCTGCACTATTTCATGGAAAAACAAATTTAATAATTTAGGTTTGACATATTTTTCAGGTAACTGTCAGTGTGTGTATAATGCTTGTAAAATAAGATTAATGAATATCAACTGTATTAGTTCTATCTATTTGTATAGATACATATATGATTTTGTACTGTAAATAACAATAACAAATTTACCACACAAGTAGATCTTCAGACTCTGGTATGACTGATCGACTTTCAGAATACTAGAGATGTTGATGCGACCCCGTTCTGTACCCACCTACCACCGATCAGGTCACTTCACTTTTCTAAGTGCTTGTTTCATATTTGGCACCGACAACCCGACAAAGAATCAATCAGCATCGCCGAAGAATTTAATTACCAATTATTTGCTGCATACAAGGTAAATTTCACAAGTTTCCTGATCTGTTTGATTATATCTATGCTATAAGTTGTTTTAAGAATAAATCGAAAACAAATAAGAGGCTCCAGTCGGGAGTTTCCGACTAGGGGATCTCCTGATCACTTTTCTATCAACATCAAATGCAGCTCCCGCTATGAGCTCGTTTGCCAATAGGACTCGAGCTCGTAATATACCGCACTACATGTAACCGCCTCTACTCAATTCCAACACCAACAATTGTTTCTTACTCGGCATGGACTTGGACACCGGAGCAGCTTCACCGAGTGGTTGACTTCATCCTTGACAGCTTCGAGAACTCGCTTCGAGCTAAAAACTTTGCTAAACTAAAAAATATGGCATGGCTCCTAGAAGAACTCAGCAAGCTTTCTCTGAGCAATAAGGTGCTGCTGTATAAAACCCTACTAGCCCCAGTTTGGCGCTATGCAAACCAAATCTTTGGCACGGCAGAAAAATCCCATTGGAGGAAAATTAGTGTCTTTCAATCCAAGGTGGTCAGACTAAGTACTAGGGATCCCTGGTACATACGTAACCGGGCCTTAGCAAGAGACCTAAATGTTCCCTTGGTGGGTCACCCGTCTTTCTGCCCACCCAATATATTGGCAAGAAGGCTTTGAAGTAGAAGGCGACTGAGACTTCGCAGGATCCACTCCATCGATCTCCCAAACCGGGTACTCAGATAAAGAAAAGCTAAATCAAATAATTATAAAACTTAAAAAGTAATGTTAAGTATATTAATCGCATTATTGTAAATCTAGGTTAAGATGATCAAGAATAGAATCAATACATTAGCTAATAAAAGAAAAATAAATAAATAAAAAAAACGAGTCAGTGAGAAAACAACAGATTAAAATAACTGCACTGAAAATAAAACAATCGCAATTGCAATGCTGTTGATAGAATTCAATAAAGACGCGCGTGAATGTGTGTGTAAATGTATACAGACAATTGACAATTGCATTAAAATTGTGGCTTAAATTGGTGGGTTGTACCAATCGGTGTATTAACTTGATTTATTAGCTATGTGGTGAAGGTGTGGCGATAGTTATAAAATGAAAGATATCTCTATATATAAAACTGTTTGTCCTGACTGACTGACTGACTGACTGATTGGTGATCAACGCACAGCCCAAACCGTAACAGCTAGGAAGCTGAAATTTTCACTGTAGTTACTTTATGTGGTGTAGGTGCACGTTAAGGCGGGGTTTCGGGAAATTCCACCCGCAAGTGTGGAAAAATCGCGAAAAACGTTTGCATGTAACTTTTTTGTTTGCCATACGATCGGCCTCGAACTTATTTTCAAAGATCTTTGTTCAAATTCATTTGAGGGGTGTTTCACACTTTTCGAAGAATCCTTTCCTCCTTGGTGGAAATAGAGGTCAAAGATTTAGTGGGTGACGTTTCGCGCTCAAATTCGTTTCCAAAGATCTATAAGAAAAATCATTTGAGACGGGTTTCACACTTTTCGCAGAATTCAAACTTCTTCGGGGGGAATGCGATTTAAATTTTGGGCGAAGTTTTAAGTTGTGTCCGATTTGCTTCAAAATTATTTTCAAAGCTCTACATAAGAACCTAACAGCGATTTGGGAAATTCCACCCGTAACAGTGGTAAATTGGCGGAACACGGTTGTATGAAAGTTTTTTGTTTACCATCCGGTCGGCCCCAAACTCATTTTCAAAGATCTATTTTCAAATTCATTTGAGGGGTGTTTCACACTTTTTGAAAAATCCATCCCTCCCTAGTGCAAATGGGGGTCGAAGATTTGTTGGATGACGTTTTGTGTTCAAATTTATTTCCAAAGATCTATAAGAAAAATCATTTGAGACGTGTTTCACATTTTTCGCAAAATCTAAACTCCTTCGGTGGAAAATGCATTTCCAAGATTTTTTTTGGTAAATTTTAAGTTTTGTCCGATTTGCATAAAAGTTGTTAGATTCCCGTCCGATCAGTTTCAAAATCATTTTCAAAGCTTTTTGAAAACATTGATTTTATAACAGACGTGCCACGGGCAAGGCCGGGTTATACCCGCTAGTAATATATATACTATTTATGAAGGTACTTGTCAAATTTCTGGTCTGCAGCTCTTATAATTTACGAGCTTTGCTCAAAAACTGGGAGGACCTACGTTCTGAGATCCTTGCATTCGTATATATGGACGGACGGACAGGGCTATTGACGCTGATCAAGAATATATATACTTTATGGGGTCGGAGATGCTACATGTTACATATATTTTCACAAACACATTATACCCATTTTTAATGGGTTCATGGTGTAAAAGCAGAGCCCTGCATGTAATCAACTAAAACGCGTTTCGGATATTTGCACAAATATTTGTCGAGCAAGTAAGGACTCAAATATATATTGGATCAAGATGTTCGAGTTGCAGACAAAAAATTTAATCGGTCGACTCGACTGGTTCAATCAAAAATTAAGTAAAAATGACAAAGTAAAATTTAATGCCCTTCTAGACGTTTCCCTCTCGCAGATATGGAGAAATGTGTTTGTTGTTATAAGAACATACGATTTCACCGATCTTTCCTATAGCAGCTATATGATAAAATGGTCCGATGCTGAACAGTATTGGAAATTCAATGTTGAATAACCTCTGTTTTTCGACCGATCTTAATAAAAGTTTGAGGGCATAAACATGGCGTTAAAATGTATGTATAAATCAAATCAAAAGGCTCAAACATTAAAAATGTATAATTTTCAATATGAGGAGAAATGGGGGAATATCCAAAAAAATAAATATTCCAAATACATACCAAATTTGGTATGAAAACCAAGTCTCAACATCAATTTGTAGCCATTATTTTGGAAATGGAACGAGATACTGACAAAAAATTATGGTTACATGGTTATGGTTAAATATATATATATATACACACATATATATTTATATAATGATGATGGTATATGTATACCTATCGATTAATTATAATATGTGGGGTCGAGGTGGGAACAATCATAAAATTTGGTACTACACAAGGCTATCACAAAGTTAACTTTACTGCTTTAAAGTGAATAGCACTTTTACGCACTGCCATCTGACATCTCCGACCCCATAAAGTATATAAGTATATCCTTGATCAGTTTCAACAGCCGAGTTAATAAAGCCATGTCCGTCTGTCTGTTTCTATGCGAATTAGTCTCTCCGTTTTTAGGCTATCGTCATGAAACTTTGCAGTAGTGGCTCTTTCGATTGCACGCAGTACATATGTCGGCTACGGCTGGATCGGAGCACTATATCATTTAGCTGCCATAGGAACGATCGGTCGAAAATTAAGTTGTTCAATGCAAAACGTTCTTGTTTTTCAAGATATCTTAACCATAATCGGCATTAACTTTTTTCCCTATCCTTTTTAGATACAAGCAAAGCATTATGAAAGGATTCGGTCTGCAAGGTTATTTAATCTTCGGCGTGCCGAAGATGGCCTTTCTTACTCGTTAGCATTAAAATTTTTAATGATAATGGTGTGAGTAGGTTTGAATTTTCCACGGGGGAAAAATGGGTGGAACATTGATATTTAAAATTTTAAGAAGAGCAATTGGAATAGAATAGAAATACCCTACCTTCTTATATCCCATTTCGTGGTGCCAACGAGCTATCAAGCTCTTCCTAAAAGAGGGGACAATAAGCGACCACAGGGGCGTTATCTATTTTTATGCTGCTAGCTGCAGTTGTACAATATGGTGTGAGATATAATTTTACCGAAGGTCAAATTTAGACTCGGTTCACGTGCTCATGTGTGAACATACACCGATGACTTATTGATATGTGACCGTTAACCTAACGACGAAATGCTAATAAATACGTGTAAAATAAACTGACTCATGCATCGTTCGCAATAATTTGTCAAACTATTAGAAACTGTTCTTCAGCACAAACAGCTAAGTAAATTCAACAAAATATACAAGACTTACAGCGATTAGCAGCGGGTGAGAGGACGACGCCCGTTACCAAGGTGGAAATAAACATGACGAGCAATATTTTAAAAGCCAACGCCTTGCGTCCGATGCGATCTTGCAGGATAATTGCTGCCAAGCAAGCAGGCAGAATAGAAGTTGAAGACAGTGAGGTCGTTACAAATGGCGAGATCCCAAGGCCATTCACATGATAAGTGATGACAAAGTCGTAGCAGGAAAATACCAAGCTATGTAGATGAGCGAATGAGGGCGTAGAAACAACAGATTGATGCACATTAGCAAGTTTATTCGTTGAAATGTCTACTCACAATTCAAACAAATTATTAGAAAGGTGCGGCGTAGGCGCGGCGTTCTGAAGATGTGCAGCCGATTTGGGTTGGTCTTCGTATTTTGCTGACTTAATTTGCAGTCCTCAATGAATTCCTCAAAATCGCTGTCATCAATTTGGCGGCCATTAATCTTGGCCACACGTCTCAGGGACTCTATAGCCTGGTCATATTTCTGCCTTGAGATCAGCCATTGTACGCTCTCCGGCACAAAATAAATGAAAAATGGCACCACAATTATTGGCAATATTTCGAGAAGCATGAAACGACGCCAACTACCCATGAGGATCGCAATTCAAGGTGTAATTACCATGCCCAAATAGATAAAGAAACCGTAACAGATGTTCAGGCAAACGGTGCGCAAAGAAGGACGCATATATTCCACAACTGCGAAATGATTGTTGATTAAATTATAAAAAAAAATAACGCTGTGATTGTTTTGCTCACTAAGAATGCGAATAATCGAAAAGTTGCTGTTAACGACGAAACCAATAAGAAATCGAAATATACAGAAAAGTTCGAAATTCATGCCAAAGATAGTCAAAAAGTTACCCAATATCGTAATGACATTGGCAAAAACAAGAATGGGCACCCGACCCAGTCTATCTGCCAAATAGCCCATAATTGGGCCTCCTATCGCGTAGCCCGCAAGTGCAATGTAGTTTCCCATTTCCAGCTTCGACTTTTCATCACATACCCAGTTCATTTTACTGACAAAACTCTGGTAGCCCATGTATGACTCATAGTTGTACTTTTTGCAGGTGCCAGAGTTGCTTGAATTAGTGTAGAATGGCTTGCATTCGTCTACATTTGGTGGTGGTGGCCCCGAGCCTAGCCCATCAGCACACCTGGGTGTTATTGATAGACGCTAAGTATACGCCATGTTATTAATATTTTTATAAATACAAGAGCCCTGCGTCGGTTAATTCATGTGAATCAGGCTCGAATACTCAATCGACAGACTGGATCTTTCGACTCTTGAGCTAACCAATATTCGAATAGACTGGATTCACCAAAGCCGAAGGCATTAATGCATCACGTGAATGAATGAATTTTCAGTCGAGTTGACCGACACATATTTTGTTTTGCAACTCAAACGGATCGAGGCGATAAAATTTGAGTGGGGTATCCAAAACGTGTTTCCATTGACTCGATGCAGGGCTCTTTTACATACCAATGCTTTGGCACAGTATTAATAAGCGAGTAGGATATGTTATGCATGGCCGATAGTAAACTGATCAGAGAACAGCAGCATGATTAGCTGCTGCCGATTGAAATTGCCGCATTTTTCCAAAATTTTGTCCACTTCCAACATTGTGTTATTTACATATAATTCAAGCTCGTGTTACATTCAATTCACCATATACCTCTGTCCAGAATAGAACCTTCCAAAAACTCGCTTCTAGTTAGCCAGTGCTCTTAATGTACCGCTGCACTATTTCATGAAAAAACAAATTTAATAAGTTAGGTTTGACAGATTTTTCAGGTAACTGTCAGTGTGTGTATAATGCTTGTAAAGTAAGATTAATGAATGTCAATTGTATTACCACCATCTATATGTATAGATATATGATTTTGTACGGTAAATAACAATACAAATTTACCACACAAGTAGATCTTCAGACTCTGGTTTGACTGATCGACTTTCAGAATACTGTAGCTTCTATAATAGAATATATAGGTTAAGATCCTTCATTTCAAAGCTGGCGCCAACGCCGCTTCCCTCATACGTTATCACATCGCTATAAATCAATTTAAACTATCTACTTATTTCAGCCACAATTAAAATCCTGTTGTCTTTTTTGAGAATGCTGAGATATATTTTATTTTATAACACAAGATCTACAGCTGAAAAATTCATCAAGCAAGCCACGTGGCTGGAAGCGCAAGAATTTCTGTATATGTGTGCGTACCACAAATAGAGTTACAATTACAGAAATGTAATTTTTGGTATGACTGTAAGGTATAAGTTGAACGCGAGTAGTTGAATCGGTTGAGGGACCGACACCGATAAAGGTAACTGGCTTTTTTCATTTTGAAGTTCATTATATTTTCATTTTAACAATGGAAATTTTTAATTATAAATTTTGAAGGTTGAAACTATTTGGCAGTTCAATAGATGCCTGTATAAGTGAGCGCAGTTTTCGGTGTTATTTTTGTAGTTTAGTCGTCTGTTGTTTGTCTCTTGTTATAGTGTTGTTCATTTTGTAAAATTGTTGTCGCATCCAAACTTGGTGTGTGGTTGCTTTTCATACAGTGGGTCCTGAGTTCTGTTTTTTGTATATTATTTTGATGTCTTAATTTGAAGTCCGATTTGTGTTGAGTTATTCTTGTTTTTAGCTTGGATTTTGTTGTGCCGATGTACAAATATTGTTGTTATCCCCGCCACATGGTATTTTGTAAATGACGTTACTTTTGTCCATTATATTATTAAAGAATCTTGGTACATATGTTAGAGATTTGTATATTTTTGGAGATTCTGTTGGCTTTTGTGTTCTGATATGTTGTCTTTTAAATAATGTTCTAAATATATTCTTCGGGAAGTCATTTATGGTCAATAGTTTTTTAATATCATGTTCAATTTCTTTATGTTATATTGCGTCCGATATGTTTGTCATTCTTCTCGTACAGCTTAGTACTGTATCTATAATCAAACTTTTTGGGTGGTTAGTGTTAAAGTTTAGTATTCGTCCAGAGGCTATAGGTTCCATATACCACTTAATTTTGAGTGATTGTCCAGTCTGTTTACCAATGCGTCTAAAAATGGTAGCTTCCCGTCTTGTTCTAGTTCCACAGTGAATTTGATGTGTTTGTGAAACGAATTTAATTCTTTTAGAATGTTTTGTACTTCTGTTTTTTCCGTTACAGCAAAAAGGTCATCTACATATTTTGTCAGAAGTTTTGGTCTGGTTGTCAATTTGTCAGTAATATTGTCCATTATTATGTCAGATATTACTGGAGAGGCCGGTGATCCCATTGGCATTCCTTTCAATTGTATGTATATTCTGTCCTCATATTTAAAATACCTGTTCTCTTGAATACAAAATTTAACTATATCCATAAATAATAAATAAATAATTGTTTAGGTATAGTTGTGTGTTCCCCCAATTTGATCCATTTTTGTCTTATTGTGCCCAGTACCAATTCTATTGGTATGCTGGGAAACACGGATACTACGTCAAAAGATACTAATATTTCGTCTTACCTGATAGTGGTGTTGCTGACTCTGTCTTTGAACTCTAACGAATTCTTAATGTTGTATTTAGAGTACAATGTCAAGTTTCCTAATATTTTTATAAAATATTTGCATAGTCCATATGATGGGGAACCGAGGAGCATATTGGTCTCAGAGGTGTTCTTTCCTTGTGCATTTTCGGTAGTCCATTTATTCTTGGAGGTACCGCTGTGGTAGTAATCATCTTAATTCATTCGTCCTTTGAAATAAGTCCCATCTCAAATAATTGCGTCACGAGGCTATTATTCTTTGCCTGTAATCTTGTTGTCGGATCCAGTCTTAGTGTTCAATACGCGCATGTCATCTAAAATATTTGTCATTTTATTCTTGCAATCGTCGATATACATTGCAACTGTTTTGTTCCCTTTATCAGAAAATAATATTTTGATATTGTTATTTTCTTGTAAGAATTTACGTATCTTTTCCACTGTGTCCAGTATTGCTCGATCCCTTGTGCTTTGGCTGTTCTTCGTTTTGTATTCTGTAACTAATAAAAAGAATTTGCAAATGATTTAGCAGTTATATACAGAACTCACATCAGCTTTGCTCATTTGATAAGCCGTGGCTAAAAATAAAAAAATCTCTAATTAAAAGAAATACCCGAATATAGCGATTTTATTTACTTTAAGGTAATCATTTGATTGACTGCATGCAGAACATATATTCGAAAATAAATACATAATAATAAAAATTACATATTATTTAGAAGTTATTTGCCAGCAAAGACTGTAAATAGGACGCTGGGAATAATAATTTTTAACTTGAAAATTATGGGTAAGAAACTATAATATATATATATATTTTTAATTTGCTTATATCTTTACATTTTTTAAATAGGTTTTAAAATTATCATGGTTTTATGTTGAGGAAAATATTAAAAACTTAAAAGTATAGTACCCTTCAATACTTTAAAATATAAGAATGTTGTTTTTAGTTTAAATTAAAGAGCATCTGTTATAAAGTTATGTTTTGACAGTAGCAGTTTCTTTTTATAACCAAAAGTATACTAGATTTATGTTAAAGATTTACTTACAGGGTATCTATGCGTCTCTTATACACGCTAATCGCATTTACTGCTTTTTTAGCTGTATTTGCATTTATTAATTGGCCTTATTTGCTTTTAAACATGAGCGATTGCCCAGTAAAGTTTAAATTTTTGGATTTGATTTTTACTTTTGTATACTTAACGGCCGTCGAGCTGGCTGAAAGGGTGGCATTTCCGGACCCAGCCTACCCCAAAGGGCGGCATGACAAGTGGACAGGCAACCATTTTTAGCGCAACAAAAGAGCAATACAATAAATGATGGACGCAGTTGGCAGGCAGTCGGGCAAGAACAAGGACAGTGGCACAAAAAGTTATGGCACACCTACAGCATTTAATCCGCAGGCGATGTCAACTGCTCAACAGTGTATCGAGACGGCGCGTGTGGAGTGTGGCAATGCAGTGCGTCCAGCCCAGCAGTGAGTGATAACCATCAATCAAGCTGCTTGGCTGAAAGGGAGGCGTTACACATTGGACGCTGGCTTCTCTGCCTAAGACCAGACATGACACGGAGTTCATTTCAATCATTAGCGTGCCGAGTCCAGTCGAGTGAAGGCAGCTCCTGTTGATGCTGTCAAATTAATAAAGAGCCCGCGGGCACAGCCCTGCCAGTTGGCTGCTGTCCTCTGTGCTCTGCGCTCTGTGTCCTATGTGGACTCCATGTTCTGACCAGCCCATGCACTTTGGGCAAGCGCAATGTTTTGCTCATAACGCCCATAAAAAATTTGTCATCATTAGCTGGCGACGGCCATAGTCGAGGGCATCGTGTATCATTCCAACAAAGGAGCGGGCTTATCTATCAATGTGTGTGTCAGTCTGTGTGTGCTGGTTGTGTGTCTGTGTGTTGTTGCTGGCGACTCTTTAAAAGATTGTGTGGCTGTTGCCTTGGCCGTCTGCGGGTATTTGTCAAAAGCTTAAAGCGCTAAATTGATTGATTGTGCATGTGTACATGTATGAGTGAATATGTGTGCGTGTGCGTGTGTGTGTACCAGTTAGATAGCGGTCAAGGCGCACGCTGGCAGGCGCCTTTAAGGCTTAAAGCTGCCCATTAAGTTTTTTAAAAACTGGCCTTTCGTTTTAGTGTGTATGTGCGTGTTCGTGTGCATGTGTGTACGTTCGTATTTGTATATGGAGTGTTATTAGAGACGTAATGGATTGCGAATATTAATTTCTTTGCATGACGAAAGGCATCAGCCAAGAACAATGCGCTTAATCTTTATTGACACGCCAAGCCAAGAGGGAGGGCTGCGGTGTGCGTCGGACTGAGATAGCAATTGCGAGCGAGTTGCGCCAAAAATGATAACCGGAAGCCATTAAAGGAAGTTTCAATACAATAGCAACGCACACACACACACAGACACACGCGCACATGCACACACACAAAGCGCGTTTACAATAGCGCCCAGGCGGCAGCTTGTGGCAAAGAGCTTCTCGCTTCAGCGGGCTTCCTTCCTCTTGTTCTCCCTCTCCCTCTCGCTCTCACCGTCTCTGTCTGCCTCTTCCATGTGCGTGCATGTGTTGCAGCGTCAATATTGTAATTTTTATTCCTCTTTCATGCCACAAGCAACAAGAGCCAAAGCCGAGTTGAGTCAAGCCGAACGATAGATTCGCATTGAATAGAGTTTGGGGCAGGCAGGCAGCAGCAGGCAGCAGAAGGGGCGGCAGGCTGAGCGTAGGCCATGCCGACAAAGTCAAAGCCGCACACGCACATTGGAATCCGGATAATGTTTCATCCTAAGCATCTTAAGATTGCCGCACTATAGGCTGCAGTTTGTCCTGGGCAAACAGTCGCCAAATGCGGAAGTCAAGTTGGGCCAAGAGGAGACACACGAGCAGCAGCAGCAGCAGCAGCCAAGGCTCTCCCTCAATGCTCAGGCCAAACAATTGACTTGATGTGACTTGGCACACACACACTCACACAGAGACACACATGCACAGTGCCATTTACAATTGATTAAACATCAAATGCACTGACACACACCTTATTGTTACACACACAGATACGCACACACACACACACCCCCCGATTGTGGCTGCAAAGTTTTTGGCTTGCATTTTTTACGTGCCGCAGCGCAAAATGTTTGAGCACATTATACAAAACATAATGCCCCGGTATATACATATGGTACATGTACATAAGTGCCCACATAAAGAATGGCGCTATATGAAATTCCATTGCATTTTATGGCCTCAGCTGGAGCAGGAGTGTGAGTGAGAGGATGGCTGCGGGGCCAGAGCGAGC